GATCATGTCATTGGCTTCACCAAGTTGTTCCAAGAGAGCCACAAAGTGCTTCTTGGATTTTCCCTTGAGTTTACTCATAAAAGACTCAAACTCATTCGACTCTTCATTAGACCCCTCATTTTCATCAATGCGGTCCATTAAGGAAGGATTAGTAATGATGGTGGTTTTAATGTTGGGGGTTACCTTGTTGGTGGCTTTAGCCATGAGGCACTTGGCGGTGATGTTTTCGTTGGGTGAGTCAAAGAGAGACACCCGGGGAGTAGTAGCAATGGCAACGGAGGCCATGACCATCGCTTCTCCATCTTCATCATCATCGTCATCCTCATGGTATTCTTCTTGAATCACTAACCTTGGTGAAGTTGTTCTTGTTGGGGAAGGTCTTGGCTTTGTCTTTTCGAATGAGCTTGCCACCATTGTCTTCCCGCTTCTCGTAAGGACAATCCACAACAAAGTGACTCACATTGCCACAATTGTAGCAAGTTCTCACTCGTTGCTTGCCCTCGAGCCCACTTGAATTGTTCTTGTTGAAGTTGGGCCTTGTGTTCTTCTTGCTCCAAAATTGCCTTGAAGCAAGAGCCATGTGCTCATGATAATCATACTTTGTATCCTCGGGGTTGCTCTCATGTTATTCTTCTTCTTCCTCTTCTTCCATGATGACATTGGCCTTCAAAGCAAGATTGGTCTTCTTTGTTCTTTGAGAACGGAGCACCGCGTTGTCGGCAGTTTTGTCCATGATGCTCATAGCAACGAACTCATCCAACACTTGACTTGAGGTCATGGAGTGGAAGTCCGGTCTTTGACGGATGACGGAGGACATGGCCTTGTTGTAGGGCATCATGGCCTTGAGAAACTTGCGTTTGATCCAATTGTCATCCGTGTCCTTACTCCCATGATCTTGGAGTGAGATCGCGAGTTTGGTAACTCTCCGAAAGAGCTCACGAGGTTCTTCATCTTCCTTCATTGCAAATTCATCGGCTTCATCTTGCACCACTTCATAGTTGGAGCGTTGAATGCTTGCGCTTCCTCGATAGAGAGACACAACGCACTGCCACGCGTGTTTGGCCATGGCATAGGGTCGAAGATAAGGAAGATCTTCGGGAGGAATAGCATCTTGGATGATGAAGAGAGCATTCTCATTGAATTGATGATCCACGGCTTCTCTAGGGGAGAAGTTGCTTGCGTCATGTGGGTAGAAACCTTCTTCAATGATTCTCCAAAGGTTACTGTTCACATGATTTAAATGACGCTTAAAGCGATACACCCAAGAATCAAAATCCTCATTTTTCACAATCTTAGGAGGAGGACCGGCATGATTTAAATGAGTAGAGGGAATCGGTCCTCCATAAGTTGGAGGTTCCACATGGGCAAAAAGGACGGTGCCATTTCTACCACTAGTAGAAGGACCCTTTTCACTATTAGCTTCCCCCTTGTCGGAGGAAGTATCCGTCACCTTGTTGGTGGGATTACCCACTTTCAGTGGCGAGGTAGACAGTTTAAGACCTCCTAGATATTTAGTAAACATGCTTTCAACCTCGTCTTCATGGAAGATTTCAATGTGTCCAAAGCCACATTGAATTCCTCACGAGAGACCGTGGTTCCCCCATCGGCCGTAGACGAGGTAGGATTCACACCGGAGTGCTCCTCCACACCGTCTGTGCTGTCAACCATACTCTTCGGACGGCAAAGTCCTTAATAAAGAGACGAGGCTCTGATACCAATTGAAAGGATCGATATAGTTGACTAGAGGGGGGGGGGGTGAATAGGCAACTAACACTTTTTAATCTTTTCTATACCAATTTAAACTTTGCATCAAAGTAGGTTGTCTAGATATGCAACTATGTGAGCAACCTATATGATGCAATAACAACTAGCACATAAGCAAGCAAGGTAAACAACACAAATAAGCTTGCACGAGTAAAGGCACAAGATAACCAAGAGTGGAGCCGGTGGAGACGCGGATGTGTTACCGAAGTTCCTTCCTTTTGAGGGGAAGTACGTCTCCGTTAGAGCGGTGTGGAGGCACAATGCTCCCCAAGAAGCCACTAGGGACACCGTAATCTCCTCACACCATCACACAATGCGAGATTCCGTGATTCCACTATTGGTGCCCTTGAAGGCGGCGACCGAACCTTTACAAACAAGGTTGCGGCAATCTCCACAACTTAATTGGAGGCTCCCAACGACACCACGAAGCTTCACCACAATGGACTTTGGCTCCGAGGTGACCTCAATCGTCTAGGGTGCTCAAACACCCAAGAGTAACAACATCCACTAGGGATTAGTGGGGGGAATCGAATATCTCTTGGTGGAAGTGTAGATCGGGGCCTTGTCACCCAGTTCCGAAAAAATCAACAAGTTTGATTGGCTAGGGAGAGAGATCGGCCGAAAATGGAGCTTGGAGCAACAATGGAGTTTAGGGTTGGAAGAGGTGAGTCTTCTTGGGGAAGAAGACCCCCTTTTATAGTGGGGGAACAATTCCAACCGTTACCCACCACTCAGCCCGCGACCCACGAAACTACCGCAGCACAGGCGCGGTACTGCCGCACGGGCCTGCGGTACTACCGCGGTGGACCGCAGTACTACCGTGGGCGCGGCAGAGCCCAGACCTAAAGAAAGGAGCACGGACAGGGCACGGTAGATCCGCAGGTGCGGTACTACCGCGGCCCCATGCGGTACTACCCCAGGACAGCCCCAGGCCAGGCCCGGTAGGCACAGATGTAAAAAATTACATCCGTGACTACCTCCGCTGAGAAATTGTCATGCGAAAATCCGACAGGGAACTACCGCAACCAAGGGCGCGGTACTACCGTGATGGGTGCGGATGTAAAAAATTACATCCGCCCCTACTTCCGCTCCTGCTGCTATACCTGGCCAGGCGCCACGGTACTACCGTGCGGCAGCACGGTACTACCGCATAGAGCGCGGGTGTAAAAAATTACATTCGCGCCTACTACCGCTTGAGCAGCGGCGCCAGTCCAGAGTTCACGGTACTACCGTTCTGGGGAGTGGTACTACCGTGGGAGCCCACGGTACTACCGTGCCGGTGCCCGGTACTACCGCTGGCTCCTGCGGTAGTACCTCTCTGAAGAGCAGTACTACCGCTAGCCTGAGAAGAGCAACGCGGAGACCTTCATTTCGCAGAGACAAGGTGAGACGGAGGAACACTCCAAAGAGCTCGAGGAAAGGCGGTGCAAAGGAAACGTATACGTGAGATTCCACCCAAACCTTTCCAAAGCGGACCCCCTCTTGATAGTACGGCTTTCCTATGACTCAACTCCACCGAACCGAACCGTAGAGAAAAGCCGTCTTCAATAATCTTCGACGGGCATCAAATCGTCTTGTGTTTTGTCGTGATATATCTGTAAAGCTCAATACACACGATTAGTCCGCAAAGGCATTGTCATCAATCACCAAAACTACTGAGGGACAAGAATGCCCTTACACCGCGCGGCACCCCGTAGTCTGGCGGTGGCGGCCCCCCTTCTTCCCCCATCGCTGGACCCCGGCTCGAGCAAGCGGTCCGGGCGGAGGAGCCCTTCGGCCAGCGGCGTTCCGCCGCGGATATGGACGGCAGCGGTGCGGAGGTGGTGCCCCTTGGCGGCGGTGACGGTGCATGGCTGGCGGCGCCCGGCTGGCCCAGATCTAGGCCCTACGGGCCCGATCTGGGTTGGGGCGGGCTTGTTGGGGGACCGAGGTGGGTTGTTCTCCGGTGGTTCTGGCGAACTCCTCGTGACAGGGACGACGGCTGCTGTGCCGCGACTGCTGCAACATGGTGGCGGAGCTTCACGGGCTCGTTCTGGGCCCAGCCGGACATTTGGTCTGGTGTGCCTCTGCTGCTATGCCCGGTCTGCTACCACCTAAGCCGGTGGAGGTTGTTCCCTCCCTCGTGGCTGTGGTGCTGTCGGTCCTTGTTTACGGGTGTCTCGTTTGGATCCGGCCGGCCTCGCTTCGTTGGCTGTGGTGTGAAGACGACGGTGTCCTCGTGACTGTGTTGGCGCATGTTGGTGGGCGGCGGGTGTGGTGGAACCGAAGGTTGGTCCTGGGTGGCGGGCGCGAGGAGTCGAGAGAAATCCATGTTGGGTCTTGTCGGCACCAACGCAGTCACGCCTGCGGGCGCCGCCATCCTTCTTGAAGGGCGTCGGGTGACCCTCTCCCCCCTCTACCCTCCATGTACCGGGAGAAATTCTAGGATTCGTCCGGGCAGCAGCGTCGTCATCGTCACATTTCTTCTTGTAGGTGGGGCTTGGTACACGGCAACTCGGTGGCTTTGAAGCGTGATGGTTATCTTCGGTGGGCGCAGCGGTCGCGGGGTGCCATAGCTTTCGTTGATCCGGCGTTGTCGGCATTTTTTCTCTTATTTTCTCTTGTATTTTCTTTTAGGCGTGCTTGTGCTGTTAGCCCCAACGTTGATCGGAATGTTGTATGGGATGGTTGCTATATCAATATAGCGGGGCGAAAGCCTATTTTGGGAGAGAGAGACGAACGAGCATGGCTAAAACGACATTTCTCCTTCGACAACATTACCGTCGATACATACAAGTTTCTCGAACAGCAGCAGCGTGCAAGTGGTAATCAACAGCAGCAGCAGCGTGCTGTTACAGAATTAATCTTCACATCAGCTGTAGCTTGTCAAAATCTTCACATCAGTGGTCCGACCCATGCCATTATTTTAGTTGGTGATTGAAACCAAACACACCCATAGAGGATGCAGACGCCTCCCACAAAATCGTAGCAGCATATATTGCTAGTCGCAGACAACAGAGGGAAAGATTACAAACTGATCCTCTGACAGCCAGGAGCATATTTGTGTGATGGCAGGCATATTACCAGAGGAACAGAAGTAGAAGAAATACAGCAATCGATAACTTATTGGTTGGACATCACTAAAGCAGCAGCACTTTTTACTACTGTATTATTTTTCTCCTGAACTATGACATGTGAGATTGCTGTCCGAGTTGAATTTCCTCACTCTCTGGATCTCCCGACGAACAGGATACATCCTAGACCATGTGAGGTCCGCCTCCAAGTTCAATTTCCTCATTTTCTGAATCTTCTGGTGAACGGATATGCTCCTCTTCGGCAGATGGCTTGAAAAACATGGCAGCATGTTGCTCCATGAGCCAGACGACCGTGGTGAGCTCACCACCACAGTTCATCTGTCTGGCATGGGCATCTCTGTTGTATCGGACAGACGCAAAGATGAGCAGACGCACCCATGCATCCAGGATGAGCGCCAATGCTTTGGTCATATCGAGCACACCACCTCGGCAGGAGGATTCCAGATCTGGCATCAACCGCCCCTTCAGTTTTTCCATGCCAGCACGATCAATACCTTCATGACGAGATATGATGCCCGACTTGTCAGGATTCCGTGTATCTACCAGCTCGAGAAGCAGATTGGCATATTTTACTCCACGCCGGAGAATGATGCTTGGCTTTCCATCTATCCTACAGCCCAGATCTCCTTGCAGGACGTGGGCAAGTTTCCCCTCTCTTTTTTTTTCTGGGGGAGGGGTAAATCTGGGTTCAAATACATAAGCACACGTATTCCATACTTCATCCAATGAATCGCGAGTTGCTTCATATAGGCTGCGTAGCTCGAGACCGGGTATCGTGTCAGGGCGTATAGCAATGAGAAAAACCATGTAATTTGACAATGCCTTGATCGCCTTCCCATATGCTGCATCCTTGTTCTTGGGGGTGCCGCTGCACAAGAGGAAAACATCTGTAAAGACATGCCAAGTAAGGATAATTTCTTGGAGTTCAGCACCGAAGCCCAGAGCTTCGGATAATTGCATACGCCTCCTGTTAGTATCTTCGAATGATTCGGGATGAAAGCTCAAATTGTATATCTCGCCGCATGGCATCATATGCCCCCCCGCATAGCGTGGGGACTGAATCTCATCCTTTACTCCGGGGTCATGAATCTCCTTCACTACTTGCCACACACTTTGGAACACCAACTCCTTGACATCCTCTGAAATCACTAGGGTCTCAGAGTAGTGAATTTTGTTCCAACAATCCTCGAGCCCTATCATCTTGGTCACTCTGCTGATTAGCTTTGTTGTGTCACGGGAGCAGAAATGCAGCAAGTTAAACTGCCCAATGGAGCCTGACCACCCTCTATTGCCTGCCGCAGCCTTGACAAGCCGGCGGAGGGACATAATGACATTACCAAGCTTGGTCCAACCTCTTCTCCACAAGAAATTACATGTCCAGGTCGACCCCAAAGTACTGAATACTGACGCCATATCCAGCAGGAAGGCACCAACCAACAAGATGTAAGTGATGGCAACATCGACTCTGCTGTAACCATTTTTATTGCCACTTAACTGAAAAAGTATGGATGCACCAACAGTTGCCAGGGGCGAAACCAGACGAAACAGGTAGCCATACCAAGTGTGGATCACCGCTGCCTTGGTGTAGATAACATCATACATCAGGGACAACTCCATCTCCACCACCCTGAGAGTAGTTTTCCATTTCCAACTCGGTATATAAAATTTGGATGAGATCGCACCAGTTGCAATTTGGAACCTAAACAAAGCCACAGGAGAATCAGCCATAGCGCCCTTGCAAAGGGGGAGCATGTCATGAGAAAACAGAAGGAGCTCTTCTTCATCGCGCTCTTTTGCCCTTCTTGGTACCCGGGGATGAAGCTCATCGGAGTAAGTAGGGAGAGCATGAGGTTTTCTGATGGAGCTCCGGATGCTGTCCAGGGTGGCGCACTTGAGTGCCCATATCCTCTCCCCGTACTTGCTGAGACCGACGCCAAACATCAAGCTGGTAGCCAATCCCAACAAGGTGGGGATCTCGGCGATATGCTTATAGAGGACATAAGCAACCCCAAAGGCTTGGACACAAAGATTTAGCAGGTGGCGTGGCCAGAGCTTGTTGTCCTCGAGAGCATAGGCAGTGATGGTGTCCTGGCTACCCAGATGCACAAGAAGGAAGGGCGCCCAGAACACCACCAACTCATGCTCGTGCAACGAGCCACTGATGGAAAGATGCCCAAGGGTGTAGACAGCGGTTGAATCGACCATGAGGTATGCCAGCCAGAGGAGAATCTTCAGCACGGCGGAGGGTCCACGCCGACGAGTCCTAGCGAAGAGAAAGAGGAAAATCTGTAGTGCAAAGCTGAGTAGTACGAGGATTTGGGTTGCCCACTCATTCCACAGCTTAATCAGCCCTCCAGCCATTGCTCCAACGGAAGTTAATTTTCTACTACTACAGTAACAAAATAAAGAGAACTCTTATTAGCAGCTACATCTATGCATTTCTATCATTATTTTCTCAATAACAGAGATCACGATGATACAGAATATCAACAGTACGGCGTCAAGAACCTATGGAGACCTCGAAGATCTATGCATTTCTACATGCATAGTATGAAAGGAATGTGACGAGTTAGGATGACTTACAGGAGATAGAGTCTACGGTTCTACACCGCACAACAGCAAAGGATGAATGGAGAGAGCATTTGGTCCATCTGCCCAACACTAGCACTTAAATACTACTGCTACAACCAAAAGATGACACCACCCGTAACACAGTGCAATAATTGGAGATAGAGAGTACTCCAACATTGAACTGTTAATAAATACCCCAGCTCCCCAAAATATACTAGTAGTGCCCCCTTTTGCTAGAATAGGTGTGATTAATTAGTTCATATAGTACTGCTAACTATTGCCTCAGCCTACCAAACCATGTCTTATCTCTTGTCACTTCCCCAACGATTTTATATGCGACGATGATGTAAGAAACGAATGATAAGCGTTGGCGGACAGATTAAAGATATGCCGGTTGGCCTCTTCTCTTACCATTTTGAGTGATTAGATCTCCTGCGTTTTATCATTGCAACCAATGTCCCAATGTTACTCAGACACCCGCGAAAGCAACAAGGCCAGAACCACCATCGCCAGACTTCGCTTGATTGGCCCCACAAGCTCCACCCGCATCAATTAATATCAGCGCTTTCTAAATCAGCTTGGACGGACCACCTTTCAGAGTCGCATTGTCTTTGTCTTCCTGCGGTCCTGCCCAGAACTGAAGAATGAGTAATTACCATAGGTATTTTCCAGAGGAGATCTCATCACATGCTTATCAAAGATAGCTTTGTTTTTTGCTGTCCACACACCCCGGCATAAAGCAACAAGGACTGCAGATCATGATGCTCCTGTTATTTGGCGTCTACTATACACGCCTTCAGCATAATGGAGCAGTTTCACAATGTGCTGATCTGAATGAAGATGAATCGTCTAACACCGTCGCCAGTCTTCTATAAATACTACTCCCTCCGTCCCAAATTACATGTCTTAGATTTGTCTATATAGATGTATCTAACACATACTTATTAGATAGTAGTACTAGTGTTCATTTTAGATGCATTGATTGAAATGGAGCAGGCAGGGTTAAGCAGGCTGTCAACACATATTTTTCTGTCAGAACCTTTGCAAATATGAGACCAGACTACCAAATGGAAAATATTGGGCGCAGCAGGGAGGCTCGATAGTCGATATGTGGGTGCCGCCGAACAGGGAGGCCACGAGCTTACCCTGGCTGTGGGCGAGGATTCGAAGAAGCGATGAGCGGCGTGGGTGATGTTCCCCCAAGCACCGCATCAGCGCCTGGATACGCGCGCTAGGCCGGCCAGCGTCCTCGGCGGCCAGGACTGAGCTCCGGGTCTGCTCCATAAGTGAGGATCTCGATGCCCAGGCTGGCCGTCGCTGGTCGACGGAGGCCAGACCGGGCAGGCGATGCAGACAGGGCCCCAGCTCCTCGGCGGCCCGTCCACCCTGTTGGAACCGCAGCCCTCTCTCACTCTCGGCTAGAGGAAAAAGAAGACACAAGACACATGAAATTCTGGACCGGCGCACGAACGCCGCCGTGGGCGTACCCACGCCCTAATCTTCTTTATATTTTTAATGGCTACATCGCTGGCTCTTGCTGATGCATCAACAAGCAGTACCGGGGTATTTATACCCGGGCTAACACAGGTACACACACGACGCTACCCATCTCTGGTGCATGCGTGATCCGTTTGCTCTGGTCGACGCCCACGATGCGCTCCAACGTGCGCACGACGCGGCGAGCCTCCAACAGAAACGCATGCCCAGCAACTACTACCTGGAATATCTCCATGACCCAGCTACGCAACTAACAGCCACGCATGCACTAACTAATAGTCTAATCAAGATTACTGCTAACATTCTCTCCTTAATCTTGACTTGCCATCGCCGCTCCTTCTCCGCCGGCGACACACGCCTGGCTTCCCTCTGCGCCCCGCACGTCCCGCGCGCACCCGACGCGCCCGACGAGCCCGACCGCACCAGTGCATCCCGCACGTCCCGCGCGCACCCGACGCGCCCGACGAGCCCGACCGCACCAGACGCTCACCGCGTGCCGCCTCCGCGTCCATCATGGCAGCCGCCAGCGACAAACGCCGGAAGGATGTAGCCGAACTCAAGCACGGACTCGAGCACCACGGCGACATACGCCTCCTCCCAATGTCAACCGCACGCTCGTACGCGCGCCCGCGGTCCCGACGCGTCCAGTGCGCACCCACAACACGCACCGGTCGCGCCTGGCTCGCCGCCGCGTCTTATTGCCCTGAACCGCCGCGGCCTCATGCCGCCATGCAGTGTTGCGCCGCCGCACCACCACGCAGCGCCTCGGCGGCCTCCGCGGTCGCCGCACGTACGACTTCACCGCCCCGCCGCCTCCGCCACGCGCCATGGCAGCCACAGCGCCGCCCACCTCCATAGGCCGACACACGGCCCGGAGCTCCATCGCGCAGCCGCCGGGGAGCGCCGCCATCGCTGCCACGCCTCCGGCACGGCAAGCACGCCCAAGACACCAAGCTCTGATACCAATTTTTGGAACCGCAGCCCTCTCTCACTCTCGGCTAGAGGAAAAAGAAGACACAAGACACATGAAATTCCGGGCCGGCGCACGAACGCCGCCGTGGGCGCACGCACGCCCTAATCTTCTTTATATTTTCAATGGCTACATCGCTGGCTCTTGCTGATGCATCAACAAGCAGTACCGGGGTATTTATACCCGGGCTAACACAGGTACACACACGACGCTACCCATCTCTGGTGCATGCGTGATCCGTTTGCTCTGGCTGACGCCCACGATGCGCTCCAACGTGCGCACGACGCGGCGAGCCTCCAACAGAAACGCATGCCCAGCAACTACTACCTGGAATATCTCCATGACCCAGCTACGCAACTAACAGCCACGCATGCACTAACTAATAGTCTAATCAAGATTACTGCTAACATTCTCTCCTTAATCTTGACTTGCCATCGCCGCTCCTTCTCCGCCGGCGACACACGCCTGGCGCCACTCTGCGCCCCGCACGTCCCGCGCGCACCAGACGCGCCCGACGAGCCCGACCGCACCAGTGCATCCCGCACGTCCCGCGCGCACCCGACGCGCCCGACGAGTCCGACCGCACCAGACGCTCACCGCGTGCCGCCTCCGCGTCCATCATGGCAGCCGCCAGCGACAAACGCCGGAAGGATGTAGCCGAACTCAAGCACGGACTCGAGCACCACGGCGACATACGCCTCCTCCCAATGTCAACCGCACGCTCGTACGCGCGCCCGCGGTCCCGACGCGTCCAGTGCGCACCCATAACACGCACCGGTCGCGCCTGGCTCGCCGCCGCGTCTTATTGCCCTGAACCGCCGCGGCCTCATGTCGCCATGCAGTGTTGCGCCGCCGCGCCACCACGCAGCGCCTCGGCGGCCTCCGCGGTCGCCGCACGTACGACTTCACCGCCCCGCCGCCTCCGCCACGCGCCATGGCAGCCACAGCGCCGCCCACCTCCATAGGCCGACACACGGCCCGGAGCTCCATCGCGCAGCCGCCGGGGAGCGCCGCCATCGCTGCCACGCCTCCGGCACGGCAAGCACGCCCAAGACACCAAGCTCTGATACCAATTTTTGGAACCGCAGCCCTCTCTCACTCTCGGCTAAAGGAAGAAGAAGACACAAGGCATAAGAAATTCCGGGCCGGCGCACGAACGCCGTCGTGGGCGCACGCACGCCCTAATCTTCTTTATATTCTCAATGGCTATATCGCTGGCTCTTGCTGATGCATCAACAAGCAGTACCGGGGTATTTATACCCGGGCTAACACAGGTACACACACGACGCTACCCATCTCTGGTGCATGCGTGATCCGTTTGCTCTGGCCGACGCCCACGATGCGCTCCAACGTGCGCACGACGCGGCGAGCCTCCAACAGAAACGCATGCCCAGCAACTACTACCTGGAATATCTCCATGACCCAGCTACACAACTAACAGCCACGCATGCACTAACTAATAGTCTAATCAAGATTACTGCTAACAGCCCACGCCGCCGCCGCAGCAGGGCCATGAGCAGGAGCGGCAGCATGCCTCCCCCCACCGGCTCCATCCAGAGGAGCAAGAGGACCCACCTGTCGGGGCAATGTGGGCCATCTCTACAGAACTGTTGTTAGCCCTTCCTGAAAGTTCAGAATAAAAAATATCCCCCTTTCCCAAGTATTGATCTAAACGGTCTTATATTTCTTTATGAATGGATGAAGTATTATTTGCCGTCGAATTTTTAAAAAAGAAAAGGCATACGCCTGACTTTATACATAATGCCACTATGCAGGATTCAGATAAACAAACCAAAAATAGTAATAGCAACCACCCAATAAAGAAACAACCGACATAAGCAGTCTTAAAACATAAGTGACCCGTAGGCCAACAACCTACTATCAACTCTAAAGCTTAATTAGCAACCATCAAAAGAAAACTTAATTAGCATGTTCCTCATTTGCTTCGTCCGGAACCAAGGAGGCATGATGGCCCAGACACCCTAGGCCTAATTCCTATTACCTTTTCTGCGGGATTAATCGTGGCTATGATTTTATAAATTGACACAAACATTTCGCAAGGGCTTCCACTAGGATGAGTGTTGCTTTGAAAGTCTTGTGCTCTCTTCATTTTTCTATTGTGGAAAAATTAATCAAAGGACTAGTGAGCTCACTGAAAATGCAACCAACTAACTATTCAAATGGATCACTGATTACTCCCTCTTTTAGAGAAGGATGACTCGAAATTTGGGAAAGGTCACACCCCCTCACCCTCACATGGCTAAATTTCGTGTTTTGACCCTTTTTCAATACTTGATCGAGATCTGACCCTGTTTTGCAAAAATTCCGGGTCTGACCATTTTCTTACCGCCAAAGTCCATGGCGGTAGGGTATAACAGCCTACCGCCAAGGTCCCTGGCGGTAGGGTTGCACACCCTATCGAAATTTTTTCCTAAGTATGAAACACAATGCATGCTCGCACCTACCGCCGGGCACCTTGGCAGTAGGGTTGTGCAGGCTACCGCCAGCCTGTTTGGCAGTAGGGGTGTTTCCTACCGCCAAAGTCCCTGGCGGTAGGCTGTTACACCCTACCGCCATGAACCCTGTCGGTAGCAAAAGGGTCAGATCTCAAAAAATTTACAAAACTAGAGTCAGATCTCGATCAAGTATTGAAAAAGGGTCAAAACACGAAATTTAGCCCCCTCACGTCGTCCCCCATATAGCAGTACCGTGCACCGACGCACATCTGCTACCTCTTGAGCTTGCGTTGGTTTTCCCCGAAGAGGAAAGGATGATGCAGCAGAGTAGCGTAAGTATTTCCCTCAGTTTTTGAGAACCAAGGTATCAATCCAGTAGGAGGCCACGCGCAACTCCCTTGTACCTACACAACACAAAGAGCTCAACGCTACCAACGCGATTAGGGGTTGTCAATCCCTTCACGGTCACTTACGAGAGTGAGATCTGATAGATAATATTTTTGGTATTTTTGGTATAGAGATG